TAGAGCCAATCAGTATATTTTTTACCTTTTTTTTTTTTTTTTTTTTTTTTTTTTTTTTTTTTTTTTTTTTTTTTTTTTTTTTTTGGCAGAAGGAAGCGTTTTTTTTTTTTTTTTTTTCCCTCCGAGTGTTTGTCTACCCAGAATCGCGGAATGGTGCTCCGTGGCCGCCTTTCTTGGTGGTGGGTGATTGCATGCGTTACGAGAACATGATGTCAATTTTCAGAAGCAAGCTTGCAAGCAGCTCATGAACAGACTGCGCATACGGCGGGAAACACTTGAAACCGTGCTTGAGCTCCTGTGAGAACAGCAACGGCAGTCACTTTTTTGGAATATCCACGTATACATGAGCCATGCCATTCATGGCACAAGAAAGAGGGTGAACGGGGAAAAAAAAAAAAAAAAAAAAAAAAAAAAAAAAAAAAAAAAAAAAAAAAAACCATGAAGAAAGACACCCCTCGCAAATTGAGCAAACTGAGCCTGAGGGGTGGACCCCCACTGGCTGGCGGCTGGAAACTGGTGTTGGCCACAAAAAACGGCTGACCGTGGTTGGAAAAAACTTGACGCATTTTGAAGGGACCCCACCGCAGACCGCAAGTCGGGCGGGTGCTGTGGACCATGGCCTGGTACCGCACTGCTCTTGGGAATACCGTGCAACACCACAGGAAAATACGAATGCCCGCCATGGCCTCCGACACAGAACAGTCCACGGCGAGGGTGCATGGTCCACGCCGTGAAGACCGCGTCTGGAAACTGATGGACATGCCCCCCCCCCCCCTGCTCAACTGGCCGCCTCCTTGGAAAGGGTCTGGAAACCGGTCGGCATCAAATTTCCAGACCGCGGACCATGTAGAAACGCCCTGTCACCATTTCGGCAACCTCTTTCCAAGCGCAGTGGGGTCTGGAATTCCTTTCCGGGCCGGCTTTCCACACCGGTTTCCAGACCCAGTGGGGTCTGGAAAACACCCCAGCGCCCAAACTTTTCCAGGCCGCCGGCCAGTGGGGTCCACACCTGAATCTTCCCCAAGAACATGGATAAAAGATATGCCGCCATACTTTCTTTTGTCTGCTGTGCATTTGGCGGTCATGCGGTGCGGGCCATGGTCCAGAACGAGAAAACGGACAGATACTGGGCTGGACTTTTCGCCTTTTGTGCAGGTGCTGAGTGGTAGAGCGAGGCCACTCCTGGCATTTGCGGACTCCCATAGGAGAGAGAAAAAGAAGTGAAGGAAAAAAAAAAAAAAAAAACAATAGGAATAAGAAGAAGCTGAAGCCGAGAA